CTAAACAACTACTCCGCTGTGCTCTTTGCAAAGTTTTCAGTATGGGAGGGCATGAAAGGTACCATGGAAATTGCTGGGTAAAATATGAATAATACACACTGAATCAGTCACTATATTGTATAATGCTTAGGAGTGTGCCCGATGCTGAGTCTGTCTGACGCTTTCTCCTACCGTGAATGTGTGAAGGATTCTTTGTTTTCCTGGGCAGGGGTTAGGGGATAGCAGCTCCCCATTGGGGGGGGAGGTCGCATTAGACAGTTTAGTGACTGATTCTCCCTATATTATTCATATTTTACCTTGTAATTTTCTTAGTACTTCTCATGCTCTCCTTTCTTGAGGGTCAAGAATGTGGGGGCTTCTGAAGGTTCCACAGCATAATTACACTTTGGGTTGACCAACTGAAGAGATACTTAAATCTTATATTTTTTCATAGGAAATTATAAAAGATGATTAGGTTAATATTTATGGTATGGATGCACTAAGACAGGACTTATTGAAGATGAGATTCTTGTAGAGGACAGAAAGTTGTAGTCAGAAATAATCTGCAGACACACATGATAATGCAACATATAAAGTAAAAAGTTTGTGGTATGTGCACCCGGAACCCCAATTAACCCTCCCCTTTGGCAGTGGCCAAAGAGCACACCTAGTCACAGCAATTTAGAATGTTGAATAAAGATTGTGACATGGAGTTAAGGACTTTGGCTAGTCGCCTGCAATTGCATCAGTATTGTAGGGAATTACCAATGCTTATTGTCAGTCCACTCATGGCAAATAATGTCTAATAGCACTTTGGCAAACCTAGCCAAGAGGCCAGACGACAAGCACCCATTCCATGCCTGCTCTAAGTTGCGCATAATAAACACTGATTAAAGTAGACTTAGTCTGTCTTTAGCCTCTTTTCCAAAGAAATTGTATATGGCTCAGCCAAAAGTAGAGAATGTCTTTTCCCCTCATCTACTTTTTCATAGTTTTTTCATCACATAAAAACATTGTTGGAGTACAAGATATAGATTGAAGCTAATTTGATTGTTTACAGTAACATTTTTATTGCTTACCTAGTTTTATATCTAGATCTATGCCCATAATTTTTTAAAAAGCTTGGCAAGATAGTTTGTAGACCAGTTCAAACCCTATCATGTCAGAATACATGTAGAGCTTGTTTGCCCTTGCTGGAGTGCTGAAAGGTGATGCAGACATTCTAATTACTAAGTCATATAACTCAATCCCCTATGAGGAGGGTTATAGGAAGTGGAACCCCCTAGGAATCACATGTGTCAATATTTACATGGCATTAGCAGAGTTCATAAATATTATAAATATTTCTTTGTTTACCTGTAATTTTCCTCTTGCATTTCATGGTCTCTAAGCCTGTTGGAGTCAGTATTGTCACTATAGCTTTAAGCAGTCCAATAGTACCAAAATCATTAGCATCAGTTGTCTTCAACTTTCCAATAGAATTACATCCCATCACACTGTAATCTTATTTTGGAATGCAGCCAGATTAGAAATTTGATATATGCTATTACTTTTGATATATATCTAATAGCATATGTGTGTGTGTTGTGTGTGTGTGTGTGTGTGTGTGTGTGTGTGTGTGTGTGTGTGTGTGTGTGTGTGAGAGAACGATTCTTTAGCACTCTGTTAAAGAATTAAAAACCAAAAAATTTCTTTTGAACAATCATAGTGTTCTGAACCAAGATAGTCTACTTATTTGCTAGCGTCCGTGTTATTTTTAATTGTAAGCTACTGTATTTGTTTTTACATTTGCAGTACTATATATAGTGCAGTGGGGTCCTCCATGGAGTGTCCAGAATAGTTGGGGAACCTTCACTAAAATGGAAACTGCTGTACTGGAGGCAAATGTTAAATTAAAGGGAAATAGGAAAAATATCTTGGACATTTCTGAGCTTCACACGTGATCCCCTTTGAAATTTGATACCCTCCCAATACCTTGATCATTGGGAGGGCTTAGGAGACGGAGACTGAGGCCCAAGGTTGGGAATCACCCCTACCTTTAGCCTTAGCCCTTACCTCAACAAATTTTGCTTGGACTTTTCTTTTCCCCTTTCCTCATCTGTATCTTATTCGTCCCCTTCTTCTATCCCATTCCTAAGGTGTGAGAGCCGTGCTGAAAGGATGAAAGGCTGGCTCTGTGGCAGCCATGAATGGCCTCCTGGAGCCAAGGGCATGATATTATTTTGGTTAATTGCCTAGCCTTTACCCCATTTGGGGATTCTGAGGGGTAAACTGTTTCTTTTCCTGATTTTATTCAGGCTCACCATGGCCTATAATGAAGATTCATTAAGGGGACCGCCCCAGAAAAAGCTTACTTATCTCTACTCATTTCATTATGAAAAAATATCAGTTGGAGAGAACTCATTGATTGTGTTTGCATAATATAAGAGTACATAATTTTGCTTTGTTTAATATGTAATTTTTAACTTGCCACCCCATGGGGGGAGGGAGTCCTACAGAGTGATAAACATATATATATGTATGAATACATTTGCAGTAGTAAATACCTGCAGTATATTCTGACAGTACCAAGCATCATTCACAGAACATAGTGTATTGATATTGAATTCACAATGATACATACTATTCTAAATTTGTTATGAGCCAATATGACATAGAACTAATGTGACTTCCTTTTAACTGCCCTACTAATTATCATGATTTTCTCTTGAAATTATTTGAGAAATACTTGTGTGTGTGAAGAGGTGGAGTGCATGTGCACCACTCTTGCAATCTAAATTATATGATGATGTGTACAATATATTACTTCACCATTTATTCCTTCTTTTAATTTCCAAAAAATAATATTTATTTCCACAGGAATTCATGCTCTGCCGTGAAGAAGAGAAAGATCCTCGCAAGTGCATTGCTGAAGGAAAGGCTGTGACTGCCTGTTCTCTTGATTTCTTCCGTAAAATAAAGAAGAGTTGCTTGGAAGAATTTACTCAATATTCTAACTGCTTAGACAAGTCCTCAAAGGACCTCGGATTCCGCCAGTAAGAAATTTGTATATTTTAAAAATTCTTATATGCACTATATATATAATCATGAGTTGTAAACTAATTACCTGTATATAAGATATATATATTATTTTATATACTGTTGAACAGGGCAAAACATATGTTATAGCTCTATTTATGTAGGCTCTAAGAAATCATGTAGTATATTCATAATGTTTGATAAAATACACTGAAAAGTTATGGAAATAAATAGAAATTTAAAGTAGTTTGTATTCTTGATAGCACTGTTAAAGTTCATTCCCATGTATTAACCCTCTGTAGTGGTCAATGTTTCTAAAGCAGAACCTCTCAGGCAGACATATTTTGAGCTGCTAACCCTGCCTAATATTTTGTATTATCACTAATGATAGTTTTAGGTTTCTATGGATTTATGGCTTTATCCACTTTATTTGAAATGTGGGAATGTGTTCCATGTGATTGAGGGTTTTGTGCATATACTTGCAAGGCATTTGTTAGGCAAGTTTTTCCCCCTCTTTGTATCCCTTTGTATGATAAATATCTTATTCCAGATTCAACTAATATCAGTAGTTAGTAAAAGACAAGCCTTTGCATAATGTTTCCTCAAAGTAAATAAATGTAGCAAAAATTCATTCAGGCACTATCTTGCTGTTTTTATTTGTCACTCCATGCCAAATATGAATATTTTCATCTATTACTGCCATGAATGACATGTATATACATGCCATATGCATTGATTTTATTGTCTTGTGTTTTCATATAGATATATCCACTTGTCCTTAGTTACTAAGAAGTCAGTTACTAGTCTTATCTATCTCACCTGTTTATACTTTTCCTTAATTTTTTTTTTTTTTTAGTAATTTGCTATTAGCATTTATGATAACTTTTTCATAAACATCATATTATTATTAATAATAATAACAGGATGATAATTATGATATGATTATTAGTGATACCAGTATCGATATTAATAAACTTGCAAAATAACTCCTTGGTGGCTGAGCACTTAATTCACAAAGAAAAACTACAGTCAACATTTGATGTTCGTAGCAACAATTTAATTTTTTAAGAATATTGATGAAGTTTTCTCGTTTTTTATGGCTTTGCATTTTTGACGACTCACTACAGTAAATCAACTCATGTTGCATATAGATTCACTGGAAAAGTTTTCATATTCATCGTGAAAGCTAAGTTTTGTTAGGCTTTTCATTAAGGAAGCTGCTTTCTTAGATAAAGTATTTTCATTGTGGTTAATATCTAAAGCACTTGAATATTTTTAAAACTTTTGAGAAAATAATATTGTTTTACTTTTTTCAGTTGTCGCAATACCCAGTCCATCTATGATAAGTGTGTCCTTGATAACCTTGAAATGGAGCGGCCAGAATTTGGATATTTCTGCAGGCCCAAGATCGTTGATACAGTCAGGTAGGTAAACTTTGATCTTCATAATTATTCCATCAGGTGCTAATGAACATTCAATAAATTTTCCCATTTATATATAGATTATTTGACACATACAAATTCTCTTCAAAGTTCATTATCTCACAGACATTAGTTAGTCATGAAAGCTTTCCCATTTGTGATTTGCAAAGATTACCTTATGACTGATGTGAGTGAAATAAATATGAAACTTTTTCCCCGTTTTCCTATGCAAAGTAATTTTTTAACGCATGAAAAAAGTAATGTCTTAATACCTTTGCCCTTGCAAAAACTACTTTATCATAGATTTAAATGAATTATCATCTTATGGAAGGTTTCCCCTTTCTTATACATAGGCCAAAGCCCGCCGAGGATGCACCTCTTGAGTTCCCTGATGCTCCAGAACCACTGCCTGAAGCTCCTGCTCGACCATCCCGTTATGGTACAAGGTTCCACTGGATGCAGTAGATTCCAAGGAAATTCACCTGTGTTTTCTTGGCTCTTCTCCACACCCATTTTGGAACAGTCTAAAAGTAAAATATAACCATTTGTGGTCCTCTTCATTTTGGGTATGACTGACTTCAGTATGTAACACCCCTAAGAAGCTGTATGTCAGAACATGTGTAAATAATTTGTGACAACTAGCAGTATATATTAAATGTACAGGCAAATAATTTATAAGTAAAAGAGATTTTACTTGTTAATTTTTATTGTCATCCTTTTTTAAATATATAAAATATAAGAAATTATTTGTATTAAAAATAGCTTAATAGAAACACTAGTTACACCTGTCTCATGACACATATTCACAGATGTCATCATAATGAAACTTCATGATGACAGTTTCATCTTCTAAAAATTGTACAGATGCTTTTTCTTGGTCTTTGTGGAGTTGCAAGATTCGCCCTCTCTGGAAAAATATGGTCTCGATAGTTTAATGTTTTAACTAAAAATACCATAAATTACAAAAATATTTGATATTATTTATTGCAAGGAGCATATGCAATTAAATAACTTATTTACCAAAAAAGATCATTTTTGTTCACCAACCTGCCCCTTCTGTTGACCCTTTACAACCATGATTATCTGTGGAGGAATCTTGGGTATGACTGTCTCAAGCCACTCAGGATGGACCTTCTTAAGGATATCTCCATTTGGTGTGATACATTCGCAGCTCTCTGCTGTTATAACAGTTTTCACAATGACCTGTAAAGCAATGGGACTATCTGTAATGTAATTGCATCAAGATCCACGACTTATACAAAGCTATACAATTCTGATATGGGTTTTGGTTAAAGAGTACTACGGTATGTGACAAAAAGTGGTAAAAATTAGTTAAGGTATGGGTTGCAGTAAAGCAGGGATAGGACAACAAAATTTGTGAGACAGGAAGGAGGACCATTATGAAGCAATCGACCAGTAATAAAGGTAGAAATGGGTTTCTGAGAACAAGAAACCAGGGAATATGAGAAGGGACCAGGGGAAAGGTGAAATACCAAGAATGTAAGAGAGGAAGTGAAAAGGGTCATATGAGCATCCATGAGGAAGCAGAAGGGATAATGGGGAAAGAAGGGGGGTTGGTGCAAATGCAGAAGGGACAGGATGTGTTGGGAGAACATTAGGAGGCAGAGGATGGATATCAGCAGTTACTTTGAAAGCAGAAGATATGGGAGTAGAGAGATTGGAAGGTGAATGAGGGAGAGGAGCATTCTCTTAGGTCATGTTTAGGAAGTTTTGGATGTCCTAAAAGGTTTCTGAATGGGACTTGTGTGGGAAGGTCTGACAAACAAAGGTTTTCTTGTGAGGAGGGGAAGAGACAGGTGTAGGAGATGGGGTGAAATATATAGATTGCCTGGTGCGACAGGTAAAGTGAGTGGGAGAGGTAGGCAACAACTGGCGTAACTGGATTCAGAATGGCAAAAGAATTTGAATAGGAGAGAGAGGATAAAGGTAAGAAGAGATGCTAAGACATCTTAGGAAGGGAGAGATACAAAGGACAGCAATGGAATAGGTAACAAGAAAAACATCAGCGTGCTTCTCTGACCTCACATAAAGTGAGGCCAAGTTCGGTTCTAAAAATTGCTATCTCACATTCACACTTGTCAGTAGGGTAGCTCCTATAAAATACATTATGACAGCAGGCTGTGGCACAGCAGTGTTTGGCAGGGTGGCCAAAAGCACCAACATTTCTTACATCGACAAGAGAGGGGTCAATATGGTCAGACGGGGCAGGACTCTCCACCAATATAAAATTCATGGGAATGATTAATGTTTGAAAAGGAATGTGGTAGACATCAAAGGTCATATAGCACTATGGTAAAGTATTGTGTTGGAAAGGGCCAAAGAGAGTTGAAGATTACAATAAGAAGTGTTAGATGTCAAAGGTTTGCGAGCGTTATAGGATAGTATGGTTGTGAAAAGGGAAATAAGGGGAGCAAGTGATCTAGAGCAGAAATTAGTAGAAAGGGGAGGCTTAAGGCAGTAGGGTGATTGAGTCAATTATTGTGTATCTGTCACTGGAATAGGAAAAATGTTCAAGGCAGAATCGAGATAGCTGTTCAAAAAGTAGGGGAAGATGTCAGATGTCAAAGATTAGATGGTGTTATGGGAAAGTATGGAAAGGAGGGAAGTAAATGAAGTAGAGCTATGATTAGTAAAATGGGAAAGGTGAAGGAGGTAGAGCAATTAAGTGAATTTATTGTATCTGTGACTGGGGAAGGAGTAGATATGGTTGTCTTAGTCGTATGGGATTAGGTATCTGAGGGTTGAGATAAAGGATCAGGAGTAGTTGAAGGAGTAGTGTACAGGGGTTCAACAGGGAGGGTGGGGTCTGGGGAAGGGTATTGTGATAAAAGAGATTCAAGTGCGTATCTAGGAGCAATAGTGGGGAAGGATGGGGTTTTGGTTTGGGTGGTATGTGTGATTTGGGTGGTTTAGAGGTTGAGGTATTTTGGGAAGGAGTAGGGGAGTACAAGTGGATAGATCTGCAGTGTATCTATGACTGGGGAAGGAATAGGGACATTGTTCAAGGAAAACAGAGGTAGTTATTGTAAAAGTAGGAGGGGAAGAATCCAGGGGATGAGAAAGGGTGAAGTATCAGGAAGAATGTCTGGAAAAAAGGACACTGTTATGATAAAGGGAATTATGGGAGTATTCAAGTGGAAGCGGTAGAAAGGGTGGGGTAAGTTGGGAGGATGTAAGAGGAAGGGGGATGGGGGGAACTGGAGGAGGATGGATATTTGCAAATGCTTTTAAATGTAGAAGGAGTAGGAACAGAGGGATTGGGGGGTGGATGAGGGAGCAGAGTGTTCCCCTGGGTCATCTTTAACAAGTTTTGGATGTCTTCAAGGGTTTCTGGAGGGGAGTAAAGAGGACTGACAAACAAAGGTTCTCTCATGAGGAGGAGAAGAGGAGATAGATATCTGAGGAACAGAAGGACAGGAAGGTGTAGTAGAGAATGTAGTAGGAGAGCTTGGACTGGAATGTTTAAGTTGCCGGGTACGAAAAATAAAGTGAGGAGGAGGGGTAGGTATCAGGAAAATGGTAGAGATTGGAGTATCTGGATTTACAATGGAAAACGAATTTGACGGGTAGATAGGGCAAGTAAACGTAGGACGTAGGTTTAGGGTATAGGGGAGAGATACCTGGAAAGATGCAGAAACATCTTGTGAAGATGGTGGGGGAGCAAAGCAAAGGACTGTTTTTGAGAGAGAAAAACCTTGTCATCATGCTTCCTGTCTGACCTCACATAGAGTGATGCCTAGTTTAAATCTGAGGACTGCTACCTCACATTCAAATTTACATTTAATTTTATTTTAATGTATTATGGCAGTCTCCACAATTAGCACATGTATGTGACTGAGCAGGGCAATCTGAACGGTCATGAACAGGTTGGGCACATAGAGGGCAGCAGGCTGTGGAGTGACAATGTTTGGCGGGGTGGCCAAAACATCAACGTTTCTGACATTGACGAGGAAGGGGTCGATATTGTCGGACATGATAAGACAATCCACCAATATACAGCTCATGGGGGAGGTCTTGTCTATGAAACCTAATCTTGGCAATATTGACGTGGGATTTATGCTGGCCTCTCGGAGGAATAGTGTAACACTACTGCCACTGCATCATATTCAGCAAGGCAGGAAAGTAGTTCATTTTCACAGTCTGACCAGTCCTGGGTCAAGCATTTGGGGGAATAGAAACAGTTCCAGGAATGGGTTTGCCAGTGAGGTCAGTTAGGGTAGATAGTGCATGAGCTTGGGATTCAGATATAACTGCAGAGCAACTGCGTAAGGTAACCTTGCCTACTTGTTTCTGGAGGCACTGCTGAAAGAAAAGGGTATTCTCAGAATAGGGGGCTGTGGGGGGAATCAAAAAGAATCGATCCCACTTGGCAGGGTCAAAGAGAGTACTCAGAAGGTTTGCAGAGGTATAGGCAGTAAAAGGATGAGGGCAAGAGGAAGATGGAGTGGTGTGAAGTGGAGTAATTCTGCAGGGGGGAGGACAATAAGGATGAAGAGTGGTAATAAGGGAAGAGGAGGTAGACATTGAAGAGGACTGTGCGGCAGGAGATGAAGAGGAGAATGTTGGGGAAGAGGAAGGGGTGCTTTCTTGAGGTTGAGTAATAACCTGGGTGGGTGTTTTGGAATGGTTAGAGTTGTTCGTTGAAGAGGGGGTATTAGTATCAGTGGTCGGAGCCGTGGTCAATGGAGGGGCAGGGGTCGGAAAACCATCAAAATCAAATTCAGATAGGCTATTTAATGAAGGGTCAAGCCTTAATGCCCTTATTAAGGGTAAAGAATCTTCATTATTGGCCATAGCCATGAGCCTGAATAAACTGGGGAAAAGAAAATGTCTATCCCTCAAGGTCCACATAAGGGGTAAGGGCTAGGCAATTAATCATAGTTCCTGCAGCATGTTCATGACTGACACAAAGCCAGCTTTTCATCCTTTTAGCATGGCTCTCACACCTTAGGAATGGGATAGAAGAGAGGAATAATGAAGATACAGAAGAAGAAGAGAAGAAAGAACCAAGCAAAATTAATTGAGGCGAGGGCTGGGACGTAAGGTGATCCCCTATATTGGGTCTCAGTCCCGGTCTCCAAAGCCATCCCACAACGACAATGGGGTATTGAGAGGGAAATTCATGAGAAAGGTCATGTCTACAGAAGGTAACCTTGGCAATATTGGTGTAGGACTTATGGGGGCATCAACGAATGGTGTAGCAATGATACAGCATCATGGGTCGTTTCACAGTCTAACCAATCCTTGTTGTGTACAAGGCAATTAGTCTGGGAGAAGAAACAATTCCAGTACAATCCTACAAGTATTAAGGGGGAAGTGAGGCTGAGCAGGAATAGGTTTACCAGTAAGATCAGACAGGGTAATTAATGCTCAATCTTGTGACTTTGATGTAATTATTACAAGGCATGAAAGAACAGAATAGAAAAAAAATTGCAAAAAATTAATCCCATTTGGCTGGGCTTAAAAAGAGCACTCAAAAGGTTTGTAAAGGTGGAAATAGAAGGATGAGTACGGGAGGAAGAGGAAGTGGTCAGGAGTAAGGTAGTACTTCTCTGAGGCGGACAATAAAGATGAGGAGGTAATATAAATAGGGTAATGATTAATGATTAAAACAAATAAATGTGTGAGACAGCACTATGACAAAGTCTTGTTGCAAAAAAGGGTAAAAATGAGTTCCCAATTAGGATAAAATGTGTTAGACGTCAAACAATATAGCATTATAGCATAGTATGTTAGTGAAAAGGGTGAAGTGGGTGGAGCAAATCAAGTAAAGTGGAGATTAGTAAAAGATGAAAGGGTTAAGGGTGTGGGGCAATTGGATGAAATTATGAGTATCTGTGGCTGAAGGAGGAAGAGGGACATGGTCTAAGGAAAAATGGCAAAAGAGCTATTACGAAACAATCAACGCGTAATATGGGTATGGAGCATCCAGGTGGGAGTGGTAAGCATACTGGGGATCACAGAAGGAATGGTGCACATGGAGGAGAGGATGGAGTGCGTTTCGAGAGAGTGGCAGGAAGGAGGGTAGGGGAAATTTGAAGAGGAGGATGGATATTGGAAAATACTTTGAATATAGAGGGAATAGGAATATAGGGATTGAAAGGTGGATGAGGTAGTGGAGTGTTCTCTTGGGCCCTGTTTAGGATGTTTGGTTTTCTTCAAGAGTTTTTGGAGAGAAGTTGGGTGGGAAGGTCTGAGAAACAAAGGTTGGCCATTTAGCCAGCCTTTAATTCTTTCAGCACAGATCTTACACCTTTGGAAGTGGACAGAAAGGATTTTAGAAGGGAAGGAAAAAATAAGAGGAGAATAAATGTCCATGTGATACGAATACAGGTCCAGGTTTGGGGTGATCCCGAACACTGGGCTTCTGTCACCATCTCCTATTCCCTCCCCATTATATCTAGCATGGGATTGGGGGGAGAGGTACCAGCTAGTGAGGTAGAAGTTTACTTACCTTTTCTTTATGGTATTTTCCTCCCTTGTAGTCCTTGCTAATAAGACGAACTCGAAGGTTTTCTCGCACCCATGGGACAACTGGCATCCTCTCTGGCGATCTCTTGGCTTTCTTTACTTCATACTTATAATCATCATCTTTTGATCTTTTTTTCTGGCTGGGGCCAAGGTCAGCACTCATATATTTGTTCTTAATATATTCATCCTTATATCTTGTCTTGCTATCCTCATATTTTGATTTGTACTTACTATCATATCCACTGTCTTTATCCCTGCGTTCCTTGTTTTCTCTATGTTTCTTTACCTGCTCATCATCTCTGCTTCGTTCAGGTCTTTCATCTCTTTCTCTATATTTCCTATTATCTTCTTGTCGGTATTGCTCCTTTTCATATTTTTCTCTGTATTTTGTTTCCTTTTCATCTTTGTACTTTCTTTCCTTTTCATCTTTGTACTTACTTTCCTTTTCATCTTTGTACTTACTTTCCTTAAAATCTTTCCCTCGATATTTGCTTTCTTTCTCCTCATCCTCCCTATATATGCTCCCTTTACTATAATTTCCTGTGGATTTATCTCCTTCTCTCCTCTTGTCTGGCTTCTCCTTTTCTTTTGCTGCATAATCTCTCTCCTTGTCAGAAACTTTTTCTTTTTCCATGCTCTCACCTTCTCTCTTCACATCCAAGGTGTCTTCTCTTTTAATGCTCTCCTCTTTTGCTGTTTTTCTGGACTCTGGATGCTTTGACCTCCTTGTATCTTTACTATCATTACTCTCACTGTCATCAGAGTGCTTGTTTTTCTTTAGTCCCTTCTTCCTTTCTTCTTCCTCCTGTAAAAGAAAAATATGAAGCAAAAAAAGAAATATGATTATTTGTACTGAAATTTGTTTTTCATCAAAAATTTGTAAAGTATCTGCTATATAGACATAAAACTGTAATATCCGAGAAACTTACCTTGTACTTGTCATACATTTCTTTGTTGATGACACGAGAAGAGTCTTTGAATTCTTTCTGCGAGACCACACGGACATTTAATTCTACTTCTCGTAAAATAGCTTGACTAACAGCAGCCTTCACTAACATGTGATCCTCATCTAATGATTCAACCTGGAGGGAGAAAAATTAAATATTGCTTTTTTATTTTACTGTTATTATTAGGAGGAAAGCAAGAGCAGACAGAGGAATATGTTTTTTTGTGTGAACTTTGATTTAAGCTAATCATACTGTTAAATCATAAAAAGCAAACATGCCTGAGTGTTTGAGTAAGTGGACATAACAGTACCTACAACTTAAACAGTACACATGATTGAATACCAAATCTTACATCAAGGTTAACCCTTTGCTAAGTAGTTAACTGATAATCACTGTATTTACTATGGGGAACAAGTGAGATAGTGGGGACACAGTTACACATATTGGTCTATTGTTTCATAATACATTCATATAATCGAAGAATTAAAAACAATGGATATTAAGAATAAGAATAATGTAATAGAAAATAACACATCAGGATACAAAACTCACAATGCCGTAAGTTCCTCTCTGACGGCCACTGTGGATGAAAACGTAAGAACCCTTTTGCAAACTCAGTTCTTCCTCCTCTGCAGCTGCTTTGCCCTCTCTGTCTTTTGCCCCTGCCAAGTTGCTCCCCATCAGACCAAAGGTTTTGGCTGATGGGTCTATGATATCAACAACTCTATGGGGAGGAAAAATGCATGCTAAACTTATTCCCTGGTCAACAAGTACTTCCAGAGCTATCTATGTGTAAACACCATTAATAAGTGGACAATACATGTAGAGCCCTTCCAGCATCAATGGATTAAAAACATCCACCAATAGTATATCAATATCCACAGGCTGATGAACCTCTATCATGCTCACCCTCAAAATTACAACATTAACAATGACATTCAAATGTGATTACTCGTAGTTGACAAATACTTTATAGTTACATTAACCTAACACTGAAGAAGATACACAATCAGTTATCATCACACACTCATTATCACCAAAACATAATACAAACTTACTTCTTGTTTCTTTTGCCAATGCCCTGAGTCTTCTTCCACCCCATTCCACGAAGGAGAGCTGCTCCAAAGTTATCAACCTGAACCTAAAGAAAAATAAATGATGTGTTTTAATTTGCTTGTCTTTCTTTTTCAAGATTCAATAACATTACATCAATATTAGGAAAATCATATTTTGCTCCAAAGTTAACTCCAGAAAAATCCCAACTTTTAATTCATCAATAATAATAGTAGTAGTAGAAGTAGTAGTAGTAGTAGTGGTAGTAGTAGCAGAATTAGTAGCAGAAGCAGTAGTAGAAGTAGTAGTAGTAGTAGTAGTAGTAGTAGTAGTAGTAGTAGTAGTAGTAGTAGTAGTAGTAGTAGTAGTAGTAGTAGTAGTAGTAGTAGTAGTAGTAGTAGTAGTAGTAGTAGTAGAGTAGTAGTAGTAGTAGTAGTAAGTAGTAGAAGTAGTAGTAGTAAGTAGTAGAGTAGTAGTAGTAGTAGTAGTAGTAGTAGTAGTAGTAGTAGTAGTAGTAGTAGTAGTACTAGTACTAGTAGTAGTACTAGTACTAGTAGTAGTACTAGTACTAGTAGTAGTACTAGTAGTAGTATAGTAGTAGTACTAGTAGTAGTACTAGTACTAGTACTAGTAGTAGTACTAGTACTAGTAGTAGTACTAGTAGTAGTACTAGTACTAGTAGTAGTACTAGTACTAGTAGTACTAGTACTAGTAAGTAGTACTAGTACTAGTACTAGTAGTAGTACTAGTACTAGTACTAGTACTAGTACTAGTAGTACTAGTAGTACTAGTAGAAGTAGCAGCAGCAGCAGCAGCAGCATTAATAGTAGTAGTAGTAGTCAGGGCCCTGGGGCAAAGAACAGGGCTGGGCCTTCAGGTCCATATCTTTTTTAGGTGGGAAACGCCTTTTTCAAATAGGAAACGCCCACGTTTCCTTAAACTTTTATGTTAATTTAAACTGTATGTTACTTGAACTTACAATCTAAAACTTGCAATCAATATCATGTTACTAATATCACAGAACTTTAAAAATATCACTAGTTTGGCAGAAGATTGAGGACATTTTTTTAACCACTTCCTTATTTAAATCTTGATAAGGTTAACTGCTGAAACGTTGTTTTAGTATAAATACACCCTATAAATTTGAGTCAGTTGTTCTTGGGCTCAAATAAGCGACTACTGTAAATATTTACATATAATAATAATAATAATAATAATAATAATAATAATAATAATAATAATAATAATAATAATAATAATAATAATAACAATCATAATAACAATAATAACATAATAATAATAACAGCAATAATAAAATAATAATAATAAAATAAAAAATAAATAATTATAAAGAATAAACAGTAACAATAATAAAAATAACTAATAGTAATAACAATTATCAATAATAATAACAACAATAACAACAATAGTAACAATATTAATAATAATAATAATAATAATTATTATTATTATTATTACTATTATTATAAAAAATAAGAACAAATCATAATGACAATGATAATGTGATAATGTAATAATGATAGAGATAGTTATCATGATAACTGGTGGTGATGGTAAGAATGATGGTGGTGATGGCTGTATAATGATAATGATAATGAAATGATGATGATGCTAAAAATATCAATAATAGTAATAATAACAATAAAGATAAGTGTGTGGGTTGCAGAAAAGCTAGGTTTGAAGAAAATCACATATTGGAAGAAAGATGAACCTATATGGAAATATAGAATTGAGGGGGATATTAAAAGATTGAAACAGGAAGTCAACTTGCTGGAAAGAGAAAAGAGAGGTGAACTTGGGGCAAAGAAGAAAAAGGAAACAAAGATCTGAAAGCAAAATAAAGAGTTAAAAGAAAAGGACTTAGAACTGTGATTGAAGAACTTTAGCTGAGGATGATATCAAAGAGTGCAAAAATTAAAAGATATGAGCAGAGAATCACTCAATTCAGACAAAACAGGATGTTTAATCTGAGGAAAATATACAAAGAACTGAATGGATGTGGAAATAGTGTAAGTGATGTGCCAAATGCTAACGAGAGTAGGAGGTTTTGGGGTGATATTTGGAGCATCGAAAAGGAACATAATGAAGGTAACAGCAAACACCTTCAGGAAATGGTGAGGATTAGTGTTGAAAATGTAAAGAAACAACTGTTAGTTGACAAGACCGTACTGAGAGACTGTAAGAAAAGGCATGTTAATCTGGCTATGGCATGGACAGATTATAGGAAAGCTTATGACTTTGTCCCCCATAGTTGGATTAGGAGTGTATGGAAATGTTTGGAATTGTAGAGAATGTGAGAAACTTTATTCAAAGAAGTATAGGTCAGTGGAAGCTTTCATTAACATCTAATGGAAAAGACTTTGGTGATGTTGATGTGAAGAGGGGAATATTTCAGGGTGATAGTTTATCCCCACTGCTGTTTGTATTGAGTATGATTCCAATGTCGTTAGTGTTTTGGAAGGCCAATACATGCTATGAATGGGGAAAGAAAGAGTACAAATTACATCATCTTCTGTTCATGGATGATTTAAAGCTGTTTGGTAAGAATGAAGAACAGATAGATTCACTTGTGAACATGGTTCTCACTTTCCATAAAGACATTGGGATGGAGTTTGGTCTTAGAAAGTTTGGTGTTCTTACCTTAAAGAAATTAAAAATCGCTAGATGTGAGGGGATAGAACCCCCGGATGGTGAATTAATGAAGGAGGTGGAACAGGAAGGTTACACATACCTGGGGATAGTCAGACAAGATAAGATCAAAGAAAATGAGAAAATTATAAGGGAATACAAGAAAAGGCTCTGGTTGATTCTTAAATCAAAACTGAACGGTAGAAACAAATTATAGCGACGAACACCTAGGCAGTAGCTATCTTCAGATATGGGGCTTGAATCCTGGACTGGAAAGGATATGAACTGAAAATCTTGGACAAGAAAGATGATGACAATATATGGTGCATTCCAGTTTGATAAGCATAGAACGCTGTGTCAGAGGAAAAGAAAACAGCTTGGGCTTGTACGTAATGAATTCTGTGGAAAAACTAATTCAGGGAGTCCATACATCAGGAACAATTGAGACAAAAAGTACCATCAGTAAGAGTTAATTCAAACAACAGAAGGCTCAGGAGCAAAAAGGATGTATGGATGTATTCCGGAGAAGGAGATAAGGACAACCTGGAATTGGCTAGTCAGAAGAGATTTAAAGGTTGAAACAGGCATTGTTATGTGCTGCACAGGAGTAGATGATCAGAACAAATTATGTAAAACACCACATTGATAAGAGTATTGACAATCCCCTTTGTAGAATTAGCTCAGAAAGAATACATGATAATGTAGCAAAGAAAATTCATTAGGAACTGTGTAAGAAAAATACATTAAAACATAAGGAAAGATAGTATGAGAAAAGGTGGAGAAATACCAGGGCTTGCAGAGGGAAATTGGAAGACTGTGGCAACTGAGGAAGGTGCAGGTTGTTCCTGTGGTTGTAGGTTCCCTTGGAAGTGTGACAAAAGAATTTGATTGGTGGACTGACAAATTGGGGGTACTGGACAATGTCAGAGCTATACAACAGACTGCCTTGTTAGGAACTGCAATAATCCTGAGGAAGGTGTTAGAGATGTAAGAGAGAGATTTCCTTTTAGCCCTTGGTCATTTGTTATGACCCGCCTAACAGGAGTAAAGACAGCAATTCCAACAGCCGAGCATAAGCTGAAACAATAATAATAAAAATAGAATAATAATAATAAAAATGATATGATAATAATTTGATAAAGATGATGATGATGATGATGATGATGATGATGATGATGATGATGATGATGATGATGATGATGATGATGATGATGATGATGATGATGATGATGATGATGATGATGATTGATGTGATGATGATGATGATGATGATGATGATGATGATGATGATGATGATGATGATTGATGATGATGATGATGATGATGATGATGATGATGATGATGATGATGATGATGATGATGATAATGATAATGATGATGATGATGATGATGATGATGATGATGATGAATGATGATGATGATGATGATGATGATGATGATAATGATAATGATAATGATGATGATGATGATGATGATGATGATGATGATGATGATGATGATGATGATGATGATGATGATGATGATGCTTAAGCATAAAAAAATAAAATTCACTATTCCTACTTCTTCATAATTGTCAAGGGAAGACTCTTTGCCAACAGGGTATAATTCAGCACCATTTTCAGCCTCCTTTTCTGCGACTGGGATGGTGAGGTTACTCGGCGCACCTCGCTCTGTCCAGCCCTCGAGCCTCCGCTTACTCTCTGAAAAGTTACATTCTTTATCTTAGAACTGTAAATACCAATAACTTGCAATCATTAATCATGAGGAAATTATCTCTCTACCATGGGTAATCATATTCTCACGGGGACGTATAATAATAAGATATATTACTTATGTCCTGGTACTAACTCACCTTCTAAAAGTGCAGCTTCTGCTTGCTCATCCAAGGTAAGAATTTTGGTCTCAACTTTTTCCTCAGCTTGCGCTTCCTCCTTGCCTTTCTCTTTGTTTTCAGCATTATCACCATCCTCCTCTAACTTCTTTTCCGTTAACTTACGAAAAATTTCTGCTCTGTCTACCTGAACCATCGGTATGACCAACTCCTCTTCCTCTGTTTTGCCGTCTCTTGTGTAGGAAGAAAAGTAGGAAGTGAATATTAACCCACATTCATAAACTTTATTCAACATTTATCTAACACATCTTAACCCAATGTCTCCAAGAGAATTTGAGGTTTGCTAGGCCTCCAGTCCAGGGAATATGCGCAACCATCTGGGATTGTCTCCAGGGCCTTTTTTAGATATGGTCAGTGTGCAGCACTTGCTGTGAGTGTAGTACACCCACATCTTCAATATCTCCCTTTTGTGCATCATACTTCATGAAAGTTACACTGGCCAAGCACTAAAAGACAATGTAGAACATTTACCATCGAACCCCCCCTTAACTCCAAGATTCTTGGCCCCAATGTCAGGGGAGGGCATGAAAAGTACCAGGGAATTTGTAGAGTATAATATGAATGATATACACAAACTAAAACCCTATAATGATAATGTACACATAAAAGAGCAATTCTGTAACACATAGCAACCACACCGAGCAATAAGCACTTGGTGAAAAAAAAACATTCATTCAGAAACTCACTGTGGGTACAGATTTGCTGTGTTTATCTATAAATTCAAAATTATCTTGTATGAAAATGCCAAGGAGTTGTGTAACACAATATTATGGGAAAGAAAAGTGTAACCTTTCACATATTCCCAGATCACAAGAAGAAACACAAAAAATGGAAGTGATGGATTCAGTCCACGATACATGTAAATGCTGATGGGTTTGCTTGGGCACCTGGTGGAAAATATATTTACATTAAAAATAGAAAACGTGTAATCAACACACATTAATTAAACTCTTACCTTCAATAAAATATTCTGAGAAGATCTGGGAATATAGTTAGGATAGACCTTTCTTTCCCATCATATTGTGATACAAACAACCAAAAGCATCACAACTCCTTGGCATTTTCACACAAAGGATCTTTGAATTTTTCATTAACACAGTGAATCCATAAACTTTCAACAAGTGCTTGTTACTATGTGCTGTTGCTACATATTACCAAATTGGTAATGGTAATCAGTAATCAAAATTGGTAATATAATGTTAGGCCATTTCGAAGGATCAATGATCCAAATTTCAGTAATTTCTTGGAATAAGTCTGCCTAACGGATCGCAACCATTTCGGTATCACAGGATTCCTCTCAACGTCTGCTATGCAAATATGTAGGTTTTATTGCGTGGAAGCCCCCCATAAACCCCACATACTTGGCCCCAATAGCAGGGGAGGGCATGAAAGGTACCAGGGAAATTGCTGAGTAAAATGTACATGATATACACAGAATCTGTCACTTCAAAGTCTAGTGCAGGGGGTTGAGCCCCCTGCGATCCCCAGTAAGAGAAATCCAACAATACCGAAATCTTCACAATCCGTTAGGCAGACGTGTTCCAAAAAAATATTCAAATTTCAACAAGTAGGTGATATGGACACTCTAGCTTCAAAGCTTCTAGTTTCCTATCATAACGCTTTTTCTCTCTGGTTCTTAACAAATCGAAGTATATATTTTCACTTACAATAATAACGTAACTTTTTATTACTCTACAAGAGGTTTCTGTGAGGGATGGGTTTGTTTTCCACAAGTGGATTTCAACGTCATGGTAACCCCTCCTCAAGCCAAATAGGTCTATAAGTTACTATACAATCTAATATAAGGGGCCATTCCCCTTAAAACTCACCCCTTATTAAAGCTGCCCTGAATACACAATGTAATCTCTGAGCATCATCCATTAAGGGCAGAAATGGGCAAGGATTGAAAAAACAATTATAACAACAATTTTTAAAATGCCAATCAACTTACGTCTTCAAGACATTCTCTTCAATGGATTCCAGGTTCTCCGTCTTATCCTTGATTTCTGCCGGAGCATCGTTGCGTATTGCAGAAGGCTGGAGGGTCTTCTTCTCAATCCTCTTTGAGAAAGATAAGCTGAACTTGGGGGCACTCATTCCGGGGTACTTTTTCTTCTTTTGGATTTAATTTGAGGCTTTCACAATTCAGAAAGCCTCAATTCCCTGAGATTTCTTCTTCTTGAACCGCTTCTTCGTCTCCGTTAGTAAATATACACCTCTGGTAGAAAAACAATAATAAACGTTCCCTGTTGCTTCGCTGCGTAGGGACCGTATGTATATGTTTACACTTGAAAGTTCTTTTGTGCGTTTTATCAATAAAATTAGCCCTAACGTATTTCAATAAAATATCACGTAACAGTGATTTATTCAAATAAATGTGTTTTGTTATTATAAGATTCAAAAGATGTCTTCACTCAAAGTTAGACAATGGTCGTAATTTCTCTCGTAATAAAAATGATATATACATATCTAAAAATACTCTACTCTATTAATATGCAAAATTCAAGAAAGCTAGTTAACAATTATAGCAACGACCCCTGTCCCCCTCACAGCTGACACTTCACAACAAGTGTCACAAAAAGTCAAAAGTACTAACCAATTCGGGCAATATGCCGCAGGACGATCAGGTTTATGTGAATGTTGTCAAACAAGACATTGTCAAGTATGATGTCACTGTCAAAAGTCTTATTCAGGTTAGTTTTATAAGAGAGAGATGAGTGAATTCAAGGTAAATTTCACTAAATAATTTCAAGGGTCGCTAGTTAACTAATCCTGTTAGCTAGTGCACCCATCCGAGTTTCTCCCTTCATGTGGATAAGAAAAAAAACAGCAAAAGCATAATTGAAAAGTAGCAAGACTTTGTATAAGTAGGGGATTGTAGGTTAAATATTATCTAATGTTATTGTACAAAAGTCTATCACCACAAAGATGTTATATCTGTCAACAAAATGTTTGAATATAAATATACACCACCCCCCTCAAGAGATTAAACCCCTGGATTCAAGAAACATCCTGGGGTGGAAAATGCTTGGTTTTGAGTTTAGAGCTTTTAAGCCAGTTCCATGATGTTTTCACCTGGTATATCAGTCTAATTCATTCTTTTCAGATTTTGTTTTGTCAGATATTCTCTTTCAAGCATGCCACTAAATTGCAACTACAAAATAGGACCCAAAATGTTGCTCTGTCATAAATGGGTTCTTATTTCTATTAGAGGAAGGAAGAATGATGGTGCAACTTACTGTTACAGTGGATATTATAAAGTTTGCTGGTACCCTATCCCATTTGCTTGTATTTCAGCTGAATGGTCATCTTTAATTATAGTAAACCAATGTCACTAATACTAACAAATTTGATATCATTGGATAGCATTTGGTTATGGCCCATGTTACACATTTGGTAGCCATATCTGATTTCTCGCAGTTAGGCATATGGCACACATCTGCATATGTGCATATAAACATTATTTCTAGGTAATAAGCACACACCTAACCTAACCGAATTAAGAGTGGTATCATCTTCTCATGTCAAGGAACATCCATCTTGTTTGTTTCACCATGCATGTGCAGAACACCATTTGGGGGCTTTCTGCTGTACTCAGTCATTGCCTTTGCTTATACTAACTAGATGTAGGAGTGTTAGTCTGAAAAAAAGCTAGATTATGTAGACCCTGGTAATTTACTGTCAGATAATCAGTCTGTCTAGCCTGCCTTGCCAGAATATAGTTGATGGAGGTTGGTTAACCTTTGCCTGTGCCAAAGTTGCAGAAACCAAGATCATCACTTGATGCCACACCACTCTATATACCAGCTCTCATGGAACCTTGAGATAACCATACAATAGGAAGGATTACCAGAGATTGTACTGTCCAAAAATTCATTAACTCCTTGGACCTGGATGATGTTGCAGTCACATTAAGGAAAAGCAGCTGCCTTGGTGATGTGAACATGCTGTCAGCCAGGCAAATTGGCCGCGGCCCGGGTGACACAGACTGCCGTCATGAGTGAACACCAGGGTGACAGAAATGACTCTCCATGATTGCACAAACCTCTTGGAGTGTGATTTGACTCATTTGGCACTTAGAAGGGGGCCTTAACATTATCCTCATCGATAAACGAATGTGGAATGCAACATGTGTAAGCAGTGACTGGAAGAGCACCGACTCTAGGGAGGACACCATTTCCATGCTACACACCATATTTCTGGCCACTGTGACTGGCAACACAGGCTGTATTAAGTAAAATTAAAGATTACGAAAAAATTAGATTTATGACACAAATAACCAAATGTTTCATATTTTTTTACTGCATATGTGATATAGGAAATAAGTAATTACCATCTGGATAAATAAAATCAAAAGATAAATATGGACATTGGAAAATGGTGATAAAGCTAAAAGAAATTTACACAAAATAACTTTTCAAACAAGAATCAGAGTCTTGTCATCGCTCATGGGTGCTCATGCATGTCTGGCCTATGTGACCTTCGCCCGGGATATTGGCCACTTATGTAAATCATTGCCTAGGGTTTTCAGCTCCATGATTTCCATGATTAACTGGATCCAAAGGGTTAATTGTGGAATGTAGTATAATGTATTGTTCTTACTGATTTATGTATATTTTTCCTATAATCTCTAGTATACTTTATGCCCTCTCTTCCTATTGGGGCCAGTACTGTGGATGTAATTGGAATTTGCAGACTATAATTACTCCAGAATTCCATATCTGTATTCCAAAGGAATCTATCCATAGATATTAAAAAATAGTATAATGTCCATAGA